TAACCCTCAAGGAACGCATTTCGGAACGGAACATACGCTCTTCCGATTGCCAATTAGTGTTGTTGATGATCAGCGTAAATAGAATGACTGACAGGTTAAATCTACGCAGCTGAGTGATCAGATCACTCGTGGATCCTATGTGGGATCTAAGTTTGATTTATTCCAGGAAAAAAATAATGTTTTGGAATTATTTTATTCACGTGCCGGCACGAAATTGTTCTAGGAATGCTCGTTTGAAGTAGCCTCGACATATCAAGCACACATTAACCTAGAAAGAAGCCTTTCCATTCGCTCGAACGAGCTCGCTCAAAGAGAACGATTAAAAAATATGAATTTTTCGTTTGATTTTGTTTGCTGATGTTTACTCGTATATTTGTATTTACCCTAAAACAGAACTTTTATTTCTTCAGTATTTTTGATAAGATGTTTTTCAAGTATAAATAGTACTTTTACCTAAGCTTTATTACGTGCTTAAATTGATTTAAGTAGGTACAATAATTTTACAAGTAATTAAAAATAATGCTTGGCATCATAAGTTACCTACGTTGTGAGCTAGTAAAAGAATATTAGTAAGTAAGAACCAACACACACGCATTAACTGCATTATCACTCTGCATTGGTCCTTCGAGCCGGATTAGCCGGGCGATTCGACAACTAGTTTACGGGCTAGTTGATCGATTTCTACCCTCGTCTCCCTTATTCCTTGGGTGTCAATTCGCAACTGTATGGTGGAACGAACCAATCAAATCAAACGGTTTCTACTTCGCTTCGTTTCTATCGTAGACGTTTGTATTTTGTTTCATATCGGCATTTTTTCGCTTTATAAGTCGGAAGCGCTTTACTGGGTCGAGGTTTTTTGGAACATCCTTTTGATCCGATTTTTCAATCGCCAGAAAATTCTGACAGAAGAAAAACTTGTATTTAGTTGTAAGTAAATAAATTTATTAGCATCTAAGTAGGTCATATCTCCAAACTAATATTCTTGATTGAAATTTTGACTGGCGATAAAGAAATATAATTGTCCTGTATTATAGTCTAGGTAATTACATCATAGGTTAATGTAGGCAAATAATACTTTGAATTGTTAAAGGTACTATCTTAAAATAGTTGTAGCGATTTACAATAAACTGGTAGAAAAATTATATTTATGATATTTGAAGAGTCCGTCTAAATCATGCATTTTTTAAACCTCTTTTAACTGTTAATAAAATAAATGAACAGTACAATTTTGAAGTCCCAGTTCGCTAAAGTTAAATCGTTGCAAATATAAATGCATGCAGAATATGCAGCGTAGTTACACCGCAGATCCCAAGTGCTTAATCTTGGTGTTAAAGTCAAAGATTCTTGACTAGTCAGCGAAATAAGTTCTACTGCATTTTGAGTTATGTCCACAATAGAGAGGATTATGCAAGAAATTCCTAGAATTATTTGCTTAATTTAAGTTTTTGCAAAGAGGATAGTTATTATTTTATTACAACTTATTGATCCTAAGAAACGTTTAAGCTTCAAGTGTATGAAACGGTTCACGTAACTTCCTGTGCAACGTGAGATACTAAAAGGAAAATACGAAAAGTTGAGTAAATTATAAGAATATTTATTATCTACTGACTAACAACAGAGAGCCACGACTAAAAATCTAACGGTCTTGTATTACCTTTATTTGGATCAATACACGTGAATCATTTTGCTTAAGTTTTACTTTAATGTAAAAACATGTTCCTCTATTATTAATTATCATTAAAAATAATACACCATAGTTGTACATACCATCCAATTCTCTCAAGCGTCATAGTTTATTTTATTCCTCCAAGAAAACAGAGCCGGTTTCGTTTACAAGACGATTCGGTTTATAGCCGGTGTAATAAAAGAAATGTCTTCACCACAACCATGCATAATGGCTACAGTATACGATTCCAGCGTAATATGGGGACATGAGTCGGCAAATTGAGGCTGAAAAATTTGAATTAGACATTATGGATAAGAGGCAGTGAGAATGCGCCGGTGTTTTGACTCACATCTTTATAAATTATACAGCTTACCATATAGATTGTTTTTTTTTTACTATTTTGACAAATGGCAGTTTTTCACTTTTTGTAATTGAGGACAAGAAAAGAAGAATCAGCAAAGAAGTGATTAGAAATTGGAACACGTGCCATTTTTAACTCCTCAACGAGAAAGCTCTTGACGTGTTAAGTGCGATGATTAGGCCGTAGGTGGTAGATAGATACTAGCGATCTTCACTCAGATTCTTCTACCATAGAGGAACTGGCTATCTTACCTCCAACTGCCCAATTTCCAGTAAATTCAATAAGTAAGTACAGGAAGCTGCGTTGCGTTAACGCAAGACATTTTGCTGAGTTACCCATGCCTCGTTTGAACTCCATAGCAGAACTTTCAAATTTCACCGAATAGATTTGATGCAAGACGAAATTGTGTTTGAATAATTTCCGCCGCAATTGAATAAGCTTGAAGGTTACTTAACTATCAATTTTCATTTTACTTCAATAGAGTTTATGAAGTTCATAAGGTTGATATTAGGGTGCATTAACTATTCAGTGGCGAGTTTTGTTTGTTATTTAGGGACTACACGGCTAACCCGGGATTTCCCATGGGCCACATCAAAATGAAGAACTTCTATACAAACTTTCATCCACTATCGAACCCCTGTGGGAATATGTTTTTTTCAGAAATCCCTTTTTAACATAATACGAGGTATATGGAAGGCAAATCGATTTAGATTGCTCGACTACGTAATATGCTTCAATTTTTTTGAAGCGCCATTCAATGGTGATAAATACCTACATTTTTAATTTACGTACTTGGTATAAAAATAATTTAATAGTTTATCAATTTCCAATAAAAACTCATAAAACTCATTTATTTCTGCAAATAGGCTTTAAAAAAGCAATTTAATACGTCCCAGTATTAACCCTACCACTGCTTCAGGACAATAAATGGGCCAGTGCTGAGAAGAAGCAGCGCAAGAAACTCAGTCACTATTGTCAGCCTTTTTTCAAAGGTTTACAGGCTTTAAAATATACATATTTATGCGAGCTAGGCAGTTACGTATCCCAAACATTTTTATCTTTTAAATAATCATCGACTTTATAGTAGCCCTTTTTCATTAAGGTACTTTTAAGTGCTTTGAATTTATGAATGAGTAGTTCTACAACAGTTTGTGGTAATTTATTAAATAATTTAATACATTTCCCCATAAATGAATTACCAATCTGTCAATCTATTGGAGTGAATTCTAGATATCTACCAATACAACTTATTACAGTAATATGCATACTAACCCACGATTAATCATTGACTTCTCAAAGTTCCCTTACTTTTTGAACAACCTCTAACCTGCGAAAGGTGGTCCCACGTCATCCAATTAAACCCAAATCAAAGACAAATCAAATTAACTTTTGAATCCAGTAATTGGAATTCCAATCCATGTTGCGCTTTGGCTTTCCTTTTGTTTGGCCTAAATTATTGAAGTGTACAGAAAATGGAATTTGGAGGGTGGATTGAGATACATGTTACTTGACGTGAAGCAAACAGCTTTTTTATTCCTTTCTCACATTCATTTTCAGTGCTGGAAAATTTGATAATACCTATAAATGTAAACTGTCACTTTCAGTGCTACCTACTCACTAACTCGATACGAGTTATCGCGTCCATCTCCCTCACTCATAGCGAGATGCTCATGTAAGCGATAGAGACTGAAAACCCAAAAAGAAAGGCGGCGTTGGTTTACCTGTTTCTTTACAGGGTCAAAATTTAGTTTCTTATGTCTCATACCTACGTTTCTCATGAGTCAGTTAAGACTTTATTATCTAACTAGCGGGCGCCCGCGACTTCGTACGTGTGGATCCCGTTTTACCCCCTTCATCTATCTTACGCGGTTTAGATTTTTTCATACAAATGTTTTTTCCCGCTAACTCACGTTTCCGAGGGAATTTTGCAATATCCTGTTGTAATTAAGCTTTAAGTTTACTAAGGTACCTGCATGCCAAATTTTAAGCGTCTAACTTAAGCGGTTTAGATTTTTCATACAAAAGGATTTTCCCGCTAATTCCCATTCCCGTGGGAATTCCTAAGTATACTATAACCTGCCCAGGAGTATAAAGAATATTTGTACTAAGTTTCGTTAAAATCCGTCTAATAGTTTTTGTTTCTACAAGGAACATACAGACAGACAGACAGATAAAAATTTTACTGATTGCATTTTTGGCATCAGTATCGATCACTAATCACCCCCTGATAGTTACTTTGAAAATATATTTCATGTACAATATTGACCTCTACAGATTTATTATAAGACAGTATAGATTTCAACGTGGCCTTAACTCTTCGATCTATTTATTTATTTGTTACCATTAATTCTCTGATTAAAACGTACGAGACTGGATTAAGTAAACAACCGCCACAATAAGAGAACTAATGAAAAGCTTACCAATTAAAATCGAACATTTCACATTCAGTATCGAGCGCTCGTAATTATATCGCCTGAATTCGTTTTCATTGACACAGGAAATGGGAAACGGTCTTATTAATTTACGTTCGTTCATGTGCGGTTACCAACTCGAGTTTTTGTTTTAATTGAGATACTTTTTTCGTGAGGGTCTGTGAGAGATTTAACGTGTATTGTGTATCAATTAATTTCTTTTCTCAGAACACATTTTCACTCTTTTTCATATTTCTATCGGACCAACACTATGGCAGTGTGGTGGTTGGAATGAAGGAATGACGTTATAGTGTGACAAGGGCACTTGTATTATCTTCTTAAAATGTCATTACCGAAGGAAGGAATATTGATTTCAATAATACATCAATTTGTCTGGTCCGCTATGCTTCCGATAGAGAATGTCATATAACTTGGTCCAAAATGCCTGTATAATACGAGCATTAATTTTACCTCAATTGCTATCGTCTGACATCTATAAAGTTTTTATCAAAATATTTCTAAAAGGATAATATTCTAATTAAATGTTATTTGTTTCAGATAGTCGCCGGGAATGCGGAATGCTCAATATGGATTTCTCAGCGAGTGGTGCCAAAGCGATCCTGTTTATAGCTCTCTTGCATGGCTGTCTCTTTCTAATTGGTAAGTTTCCTTAAAATATTGCAATAAACAGTTGCAAAAGCATAGATGACCCCGTAAAAGACCTGGGTCACTTTTACACAAAACCTAAATTCATGTATGTTAGAACTTTTAAGAGAACAAACTAGAACGTACACGTAGGATTAATTATTGACTTCGCGCATTAATTTTATGCCGTGCGTATTTTTATCGGCTAAAATCACATTCATTAGGTACAGTCGCAGAATGAAAAGGTTCGTCACCTTAGTGTCGGTTTTCGCTTGCAGTAGGTACTGTAAGAATCAAACCTGCCAACATAACCGTGCAAGAAACAGTGCTGCTAACATTTAAATAAATATGACGTTTGCTAACGAATAAGGTTTTGCTTGTTTATTTTTCTATCCCATCAGTGCAATGTTACAAAATGTAGGTTTTTTTTATTTAATAGATAATGGCAGGTTGAACCAACAAGAAGGTTTTAGTTTATCAATCATAATAATCTTCTTGACAAGTGAATTCGTCAAACAACTTAGATCTGAATAATTTTGAACTTTACTGACGAACAGTCAAAGATTATTTTCTCTAACTCGAGATTATTCTGTAACATAGTTTCAAAAGGTAACATGTGCTCGCGATTCGTTGAAGGAATCAATTAGAAAACTGACGAACCTTTTCATTCCGTGACTGTACATTTTACTAACATGAAAAATATAGACTTCCCCAAACAAAGCAAAAGAGAAAATGAAAGAAGAAAAGAAAACAATCGTGAAAATTTGATGCATTGTATCCTTATAAACACACATCTGATACAAACAAACGTTTCCATTTAGAATCAATATACTCCTTCGTAATGAATCCTCGATACATTCCAACATCTCGGTATCTCTTCTACACGGATGCCTTTTTCCGAGTAAGAGCTTTTAATCGAAGGATTACAATAAAGGATGAGTAACTTTCACCCATTCCTGTGTTATTAAATTTTACTGTTTACTGTTTTTTTGTTTGCTGCCTTTGTCCAGTTACTTAGATAGTTAGCTTTGTGAAATTAAAACTAATATGAACTCTGTGATAATTAGCTTTTTGAAAGGTTTTCCTTTTCAAATTTCCCTAGATCTAATCACTTATCAAATTATCCAATCTTAATCACTGGATGGAACGTCATGACCCGAAAATACTCTCAACTGATAGGCATTACCATGTTAGGTTGATACGTGAAGCCATTGAAATTAAAAAGCATAAGAATTTCAATCGAGAAGATGGATTTAACCTATCATCAGCGTGGAATCCGGTGATAACGAAGTACAAATCGCGTTCTAGGCCGTCTCAGAGAAACCCGGACACTGTTAGTGTAGTTTGTCGGACTGACTATACCACTGACGAAAATATTGTGCAAATGCGGGTGGGTGAAGAAAACTCATCGCGCCGGAGCAGACGACGCCGCATCTCTTCAGTCTGCCCGCGACCATGACTCGTGCAACCGAGCCGAAACGTCGGGAGGGTAAATATTATTTACCGTTAAAATAGATATTGTTGCAATAAATCCCGTGAAGTGATAATTTCCCTAGATCTGATCTTCTAATAATCTGTCTAACGATTGACTGGATTATCAAAGTGATGCATGCCGCATCCGCATTATGCGGTCTTTTTTGTGGTTTCGGCTCCCGTCAAAGGTTAATAAAAGCAATTATGTCTGTAAATCTATATTCATAGAGCTAGGTAAATTATCAATGAGATTTTGAGAAAAAAACAGTTCGACTAGATTCATAACTACTACATAGGTAGGTATCACAGTCATAATCATCCTAATAAAAAGAATTTCAGTTACACATCGTTTCATCAACAAAGACGCGCCCCACCATTCTTCTGCTGGAGTTTGAGTGTTATCGGTACACTAAATTATCCATAAGTGCACACGCACACTACAATAATGACGCTCGGGTTGCTCGGATCAAACTCTCCGCACCCCGTGCTTCCCTCGACCAAAAATTGGTGGGGCGCGTCTTCGTGGACGAAACGATCTGTTTTCCATCCATTTCATCTCTATCTGTTTGCCAAAACCTCGGTCAAATCACGTCACTTTAAGTATGAAGACTGTGTAAAGACTTAGCAAGCATTATGTCTCTTTTTGGAATATAATTTGACGTAAACCGCACAGCAATCAGATTACATGTTACATAAAGCGAGACCTACGCATCTGAATGTTAGTGATTTTATTTGTCATAGTGAGAAGGGTAAGACGTAATATAATTACGGAACCATTGTAAGATAATGTCAGTGTGAGGGATAATAGACATTGGTCCTACTTGATGGGTCTAAAAGATTAGTGAGCACTAAAGATATGAGGAGTAATTTGTCTGAAGACTACGTTGTTACGAGTGTCAAGATTGTTCAGTGGGCGTAGTGTGAGTTTACGTCAAACGAATTCGATATCGACTGCGTAAAAAAGTGACATTAAATGTGTGATGGATTGTACAGCGCCCCTCGCGGAAACTTTCAAGAACTAAAATCTTTTTTTTTTTTTTATTTAACGCGCTCACTAGTGACGACATTTGATGGAAACTCTCACTAAGCCCTCTGTTCCATTTAAGAAAAATTAAATAATAATAGATTTAAATAAATTTGTATTTAAATGATTTAAATTATGCGCGCAACGATAAAATCTTATATCCCGTTAAGTCGATAAAATTCCCTGATAAAAGTTTATCATGGTGCGCATTTTTGACCTACTGGTCAGTAAATATTTATTTCATGAATTATTAGCGAATACAAGAAATAATCTACGACAAAATGTATCATACTTTGTGCAAGTAATAGTTTATTACATGATAACTGATATTGATACGCTGCCTCATCAATAATCCACCATTTTATTCTCCATTAAATGTTACCTTCATCAGCGTTAAAATTCACCTGTCCCATCATAACTTCAATGGCAAACCCATAAAACCTATTTCACGGACCCTAACAGCGGTCCAATAAAGCAAACAGTTTTCTATCGTCTAAGAAAACTTTAAACTAGTGATGCAACGAATGCGAATACGAATATTCGTATTCGGCGAATAGTAGACATTTACCGAATATTCGTATTCAGTGAAATAATAATTACGAATACGAATACCTACTTTTTTAAATTTTGTCACACACGTCTGTGTCTCCGAACACTATTGCCACAACGACATGACTGGAAACCCCGGTCAGTATGTAACAAAGTAGTAACTAAGTTTTCTTTCGGAATTTGACAGGCAACAGCAGGTCGATTGTACAAGTATTATTTTGTTTTGATTAGTTACAAAGTTAAGTGATACAATAACAAAAAATGCCATTTGTAAATTTTAATTACTAAAACATTAGTCATAATAAAAAGAGTTAAAGGATGATGGGCACTTTTCTATGGAATCTGGGCGTAAAACCAACAGAAATGTAACTACTATTATTTGTTAGGACTTAATATCAGTAATATATTTTCATATAAATAACTAACAAAAACTCCCGGGTTTGTTTGGAAATTGACATAATGTGTAATAGTAATAGGTGCTTTATTGCGCAAACAAAAAATATTATTAATAAATATACTTATCTACTTTCATTTTAAATACATTAAGTTCTTTATCCATTATTATGTCCAACAGTTCAGGAGTGGGGCCAACAAATGGTATATTTAAACCATGTTCTACATTATAAGCGTAGGACCATACCTAGGTACCATTTAGAGAAATGACATGAACACAGTCATGTTTCAATGGGATTTCTACCAGTTAAGTTGTTGTGTTGTCGCATAATCGATCACGGATCGATTATTAATCGATATTGCCAAATAACGATTTATCGATTAACAATTCGATTAATCGATTTTATTGATTACCATTATTACTATCATTTGATTGTTAATTCAATTCCTTATTTTCAGCAATGTAATCGATAATTGCAATCGAATAATCGATTATGATTTATTCGGTATACATACTTACAAAATCGATAGAATCGATAGTAAGATATGATACAATGCTCTTAATATGATCAATAAAAGCAATCTAATTGACCTAATACTATTTTTATTACCCTAATGTGATGTGAAATACTATGGAAACTTTGCATATTCAACGACCTCTATCTCCGTATCCCCGCGTATTTCAGGATTGTTGTCATACTATGAAATGAAGTACTAGTATTAAGCTTTAATTAAGTATACTTTTTGTTTCTGTTGGTTTAACGCCCAATATGCCCATCATCCTTTATGAGTATTTCATGACTATGTAGAGATATTCGTATTCGTATTCGCCGAATAGTAGATTTCATATTCGTATTCGTAAAAGTAGTATTCGTTGCATCACTACTATAAACATAACTTCGTCTCTAAAAGTTTCATTACAATACCGCAATAAAAGAGACCAAATAAGCATGGTTACAATTTGCCACAAAAGACTGACGTCCCTCCGTAAATCATAGATCGCGTGGCTCTTTGTATCTTCTCGTTGTGTTTATACAGGGTGTCCCAGAATGGGTGAATCAAACTGGTAGGGGAGGTACTCGTAGCTCTACTAATCCCCAAAAAAATATGAAAAAAAAATAAAGCGCATAAAGACACAAAAAATGTTTATTTGAAAAAGTGAAAACAAATCAGCTTTGCCTAAGTATCTGTCTATAATTGCTGCGTTTGGAATTTATTTGTACTTTTTTCTTACTTATTAATTGTACATGATCGCTTCGTTTATCAGTACACAAACTTTTGAAAATAATGACTAGATTTCGAGTTTAGAGCACATTATTTAAAAAACAAATCCGAACTCAATTTTTTTCATATTTTTAGGGATAGTACATTAGTAGAGCTACCTCCCCTATCAGTATGATTCACCCATTCTAAGACACCCTGTATTTATTCCTTTCGTTGTGTTTATATTTATTCCTTTCGGTTGGCCGAGTCTGAATAGGGAGGTTATAAGATGGTCGTATGAATGAGATTATCCCGCATTCCTTTTGTCTCTTAAAAGGGACAGGAAGCAAATTATAAACGCGGCTGTAATTTTAGAGAGTATCTATTTCATGTGTAACCGAGGGTCGTGAAAAGTGGAAAATCTGGCCTCGTTTTCAGCCAAATGACGTCCACTGCTGGACAAAGGCTTCCCCCAAGGTTTTCCACAGTAAACGGTCCTGCGCTGCCCGCATCCAGGCTCTTCCCGCGACCTTCAATCTGGAAATCTGGCCTATTAGATATTTATTTATTTGGATTTGTATCTCCATTAAAAATGTAAATTACTTACCAGAACCTCGATGTGTTTATTAAGTTTTCTTCTTGTAATATTAATATAAGTACTTTAGTTTGATAAATATCTCCTATAAACCTGGATTATAACCTAACTGTTTGTAACTGCGAGCCGCCTCTGCTTCACAAAGGTACAAAGTATCATACTTAAAAACCTTTCTCTTGAATAACTCTATTTATTAAAGAGAACCGCATCAAAATCCGTTGCGTAGTTTTAAAGATCTAAGCATACATAGCGACAGATAGACAGGAAAGCGACTTTGTTTTATAATATGTATTGATAAAAAATTGTATCTCTAAAAGGGCTAATTCTCGTTAGGAAAATTGACTATTTGAGAAAATATTATCAATAGTAGAGCTACTAAGCAGAGTTTAATAACATTAAATACCTAAATACGGGAAAATCCAACGGAACCTTCCGTGAATCGCGTCACGCACATTCGGCCAATTCTCATAATGTTCGCGACAGATTTTTAGAACGTAAATGGGTATGTAATTCCGGTAATGGATGTCGAAAGTAATTCCAGATTATTTCGACAGAGTTTCATTTGCGTAATGTTTGCGTTGTTGCACACAATGGAGGTTTATATGACAGTGGGTTTAATTGTCTATTTCCTTCTAAAACCATCACGATTTTACAGTGATCTTCATGGTAGAGGCTTTTTCACCACCGTAATCATCAATTTCACACAGTGCCATCTAGCCCTAAAGTAAGCAGTTAATGTACTAGCTTAAAACTAGCCGAACGAACGGAACACCCAGACCCGTCACAGAAATTAAAATTCATCATTACTCATCAATTACTGTCCGGTCGGGAATCAAACCCGGGACCTCTCGTCATAGTAGTCCGTTCTGAACCACTACACCAAACGGCCGACAAATCATTGTCAAGTTATCTAGTATCTACTGCTCATGCATGACCTCTCTTTTTTACCAGGTGCAAATGGAAGACTTGGTGTAGACTTATAGGATGGGTTCGGGTGGCATGAAGTTCCCGGCTAGTTCAGTGATTCGTCCTACAACAGGTTCGTCCCACTGGGACGAAACACAGAATCCAAAAAAGTATGTATTTTTTGTTCTGGATTCGTCCAATTTAATTTATTCTTTAACATAATGAGATTTAGTACCGTCAGAAAGTCAATGAAATAAAACATGAATGTTAACAATATCTGTATTTAAAAGGAAAAAAAATGAATTCAGTGTTTCGTCCCAGTGGGACGAACGTGTTGTGGGACGAATAACTGAACTAGCCAAGTTCCCTTAGCTGGCTCTTATATCCACGGGGAGTGTAATTACTATTCTTTTCTTCTGAACCGCACTGCCACGTCACCGTTATTATAAGCTGCGTTTAGTGTTTAAGAAATGTAAATATTGATGTTAAAACTATCATTTAGTTAGTTTATTTACAAAGCATTGATACAATGAATGATATCCGCATTAAATACATAATCACGCACTGCAAAAACAATTCAATTTAAGTACGTAAGCGTCGTACAGCCGAGCCTGCTAAATCTACGTAAACTTTGATACGAAGAAGCATCAGTGTAATTTTAAGTCGGCTATGTATTTGTTAAATGCTGATACATGTTTTCACAAATTTCAAGAGAATGCGAGCTGTCTAAAATTAGAAAATATTATGTTACGGCAACCAGCGTAGTCTAACTAAAATAACATTGTTTTAGCTTATTACAACTTCAAAATGGGATTTTGGAACGAGTGATTCGTACCGAAGTGAGAGTCGGCCAATCCTCTTTTTAAATGGGACCTTATAAATCAAGGTTTAAATTGGCCGGAAAAAATAGGAAATCGAGTTCTTATTGAAAGAAGATTAAGCTGTACACCGCGGTCCGATTCGATTACAAATAATTCCTAGAGCAATTTTCACCACGAACAAAATACCTCGAAGTATGGAGACAATACGATTGATCAAGTCAAGGGTCAATAGCCAAACGGTGAAAGGACTGGCTGACTCGTGATCTAAGGAACGCGCCTTCACGGGTTCGAACCTCGCCGCATTGACTGTTGTGGTGAATACACTCGTAGCACAAGCAAAAAAAAACTTACCCATGTATTGAGTATGTATACAGTAAAACTGTATGTACTGTTACCAAATTCATAAAATTCCGTTTTACCCTCTTAGGGCAGAGTTTCGTAAAATCCGTTCTTAGTGAGCACCTACGTTCTAAAAGAACCCCCTTGCAAAATTCGAGACTCCTGTCAGTTGTATTTTCTGAGATTTCGAGATGAGTGAGTGAGTCAGTAAATCAGTGACCTTTCGCTTTTACAAATATAGATATTTTTGTTCTAGCTGGATCCGGCACCGAAGATCCTCTAGACAGTTCCACCATGGACATCTCGTCTCGGCGCTTCAGAGCCGAGTTCCTCCAGGAATACCAAATGTCTGCGGATGCTCCTTACTTCGATGGCAGCACTCCAAGGAACATCACTGGCCTGGTCGGGCATCCAGTACGGCTCCTTTGCAGGGTTAAGAATCTGCAGAATAGAACGGTGAGTTGACTTAAGAATACCTAAGAGTTAAGTACTACATTGATTTCATTCATTTGAGCGCAGCGTAGGACATCATAAAGGTAGCGGGACGGCACTGGATGCAGGCCGACACCAACCGGTCATTGTTTGAAGGAGGCCTATGTTCAGCAGTGGATGTCCTATGGCTGAAAATGATGATGATGATGATTCATTCATTCATTTAGGCTGAGTTGCACCACCTAACTTTAACCGTGACTATAACGATAACTATGTATTTTGTATGGAGTTTGACAGATTTTTGACATTTATTAAAGTCAAAGTAAGATGGTGCAACTCAGCCTTGGTGAATGCATTGATGGACGACGTAGACGATAATTTTAATGGGTGATGTTACAATGTAAAAGATAAGAACTTACGTATTTCGGATAATAATGTTAGATGCAGGTGTTGGATTGGATTTTCTAGTATCACAAGGACAGCGTTCCTAGAGTGGAGCACGCATTTTTTAAGTTTATAAAAAATCGTTACTTAAAATATATCTACTGAACTCGAAATAATCTAAGGCCATGTAATGATATCCAAATACGACTCAATAAAAAATAGTTAAAGGATACGAATGCTTCACTCATTGAAATACAACTAATTACAAGATGGAATCTATACGTCTTGGGTTAATCATTACAAGTTTTTAGCGTCAATAAAATTCATAAAACTCAGTCTCCAAGTTCACACTGTCCTCATACTTACACGAGTTCCAAAAAAAAAAACAGTCTGGATCGCTTTCTCATGTCAAGTAGAAATTAAATTCGCATTAACGTCAAGATCGTTCTGTCTTACACATACCCGTGTAAGGTAAATTCTGAAGTACAAAAATATCTCGTTAACGATAAACAACAAAATAAGAAGCGATGTAATCAGATATCGGAAAAACCCAAGGGAAAACTTTCCCAAAGAAATCCTACTAATATCCTACTAATATTATAAATGCGAAAGTTTGTATGGATGTCTGAATGTTTGTTACTCTTTCACGCAAAAACTACTGAACGGATTTTGTTGTAACTTTACAGTATTATTGTTTATAATCCAGATTATTTTATAGGCTATAATTTATGACGATATGTGACAAACTAAATTTTAATAAATAAATAAGTCGTGGGTAAAAAGCGCCATCTATCGTCATTGGTTAAAATCTACAGCTAAAAAAATTTGACGTTCGTAAATATTCCAGTGGGGGAAGCTGTTAAACGCCATCTATCAACATCATTAGTAATTAAACGAGGTCCACGCGTACGTAGTCGCGGGCGGCCGCTTGTACAAAATCTAAGGTGTATGCTGCTGATCGTTGCGTACAGGCTTTGGCTAGACTTGAGAGAAATAGCGAAAAAACTAGACTATGAGTAAGACCTGAAAATATATTGTTTCACGACTGAAATGATACTTTGGACTTGGGTTAACAGTAGGTTTCATATTTCATGTTTTTATGATATAAAGAGAATACATTTTACTTTTAGTATTTATTTCGTTTGTTTATTTTATGGCAAAATGAGAAAACTTTATAGTCGTAAATAACTAAACAAGCAGAATAATAATATTATTCTAGTTACATTTCTTGCAAAATATTATTATGGCATTCGTAAATTACAAGAACGAGGTGAATAAAATGGTTATATTAAAATTTATAAATTATGGAAAGTGGAAAACTCCAACTTTTTGACAATAATTTACATATTTGAAAAGTTGAAAAATGTGAATCCCATTAAAAGCCTTATTCATTGCCTACTTTCTTACATTTGTTTGCCTCCTATTTCATAGAAAAAAAAACTTTAGTGTAGATAACACAGACAAATTATTTTTATTATATCTATATTATGTATAAATTACTTGCATTTTAGTGTCCCTACTGTATTCCTAACCTTCCAACTACTATCAACTTCTGATTAATTTCGTTGCGGGCGAGGCAGTTTAGCTATCCCCTGGGGCTGTCCAACTTTCCCTGTTTTGGTTTGATTAGCGGTCAAGCTGTAATACGTAGACTATGAAGAATTGCAGGAACGAATGGAAGGAATTGTAGGAGCTTGGCTAAAAGGCTGCGCAAATGTAGATACTATTTGTTTCAAACAAAGGAATCCATCACTGGCAACTAAGTAGTTTGTCTGGTGGAGGAAGAGTTGCAGAAACAAATTAGGGCAATAATAGGAACATGGTTAAATAGCTGCACTTTCTATTGAGGATACGGGTTACCATCACAGGCAACGGAGTCATTGTGACTGGTAACGCCGACCAAACACTTCATTGCCGATACGGCACATCGAATTGTTGTCGGTTAGCAGTATACTGCTTTGCGAATTGCAGTACAATTTTTACCGTGGACAGGTAGGAATGTGTCAAGTGCTTAAGTGGAAGCAACTGGACACAAAAAAATTCTGAGTGGCTAATTTACAAATTATAGAAATAAATTAAGACGGCGCAGCGACCCAAAGTTAGTTTTGACCTCTGACAATAAGAATCTCCATTTCAGTAGAGCATACTGAAGTGGATATTCTTGATTACATGAAAATAAAATTTCCACTGTTGCTTTTATGTGACGCAAAAGAGCCTCTAAATGTTCCTTTTCTTTTAAAATCTTGTCGAATTCACCTGTGAGATTTTCACAGCTTAACAGATTAAGGCGGTTCGAAGACATTAATCCTTCAATGTCAATACCTCGGAGAGGATCATTAGTCTTACCATCTTTAGTGTCATGTTCTGATTTCAGAGGCTTGCACTATTGTTTTTCATGATCTTGTTGGAGATTTATCTCAATTAAAAGTGGTTGTTGTTGTGAAATTTGTCTTGAGCATTTCTATAAATAAAATACAAAGTGTTTGCAAAGTGAGTTGAGTGGAAATCTAAATAATATAACTCAAAGGTGACTCACTGACTGACTGACTGACTGACTGACTGACTGACTGACTGACTGACTGACTGACTGACTGACTGACTGACATAGTGATCTATCAAAGCACAGCCCAAACCACTGGACGGATCGGGCTGAAATTTGGCATGCAGGTAGATGTTATGACGTAGGCAAAGGCATCCGCTAAGAAAGGATTTTACGAAACTCTACCCCTAAGGGGATAAAATAAAAAGTCGCGGGCGCCCGCTAGTCAATAATAAAGAATTAATTACCTAACGATATTTTGATACGGATATTTATTTTAGTAACTCATTAAGTTCAAAATAGGTGACTCATAATATAGTGTATTTATTTGCCATTACTCAAAGTTTGATAGTTATGGATATTGGGAGGCCTTAGTCCAACAGTGGACGTCATTTGGCTAAAATGAACGAAATGATGAATGAACTCAAAGTAAACCGACCGAGTTAATAAAGTCGCCTAAATCCATTATAGTCGACAGCACGCAAAGTCAAAGTCAAAATTTCTTTATTTGTTTAGACTTTAGACTAATAAATATGTAGTTCTTACAAATCGCAGTTCGCAGAGATTTTAAACGTTTTTCTTATATAGTTTTCAAACAGATTTTTTCTATTTAACGTTTTATTTTATGTCAAATTACGCACCAATTTCCTGCCATAAGATGTCTTCACTCATTCCATACCTACCTACAAGAGTTCCCGCAGCTGTAACACAGTTTCACACTTTACTTTTATCGGGGAATGTTCATGGAGTTTCCCATTCTCCATCATTCTGTTATACAGGGTGTTTGATTTTTTCCCCTAAAAGATAACCTTAGTGTATAAATCTGCTAAAATCTATGAAATGAATATATAACTCGGCAACTATGCAAATCAAGATGTGAACAAGATACCTTATCTCGATTTTTGCAGTTTTTCAGTTAATGAATTTTGTTATTAACTGTGATTCGAATGGGGTGGATTAGTTCTCGACACCAAAATAGATATTTTTGTTTTGGACGTCATTAAACTTCTGACAGCCACCCTGTATAAATTCTAAATGATTATTAGAGATGAACATAAAATTGTACGGGGTTACGGCCAACGGGGGCTTATATTTATGATTAGCTTCCCTGATAGCTATCGTTTCACCTCCAAAGTGCGCACTTAAGCGTTCCATTGATAACACATACCCCAATAAAATGCCTCGACACGATCCATTATGGAGAATTCTAAACGAAACCTAAGGGTGAATCGGACGTATTTTTCTTTTTTACATCCTTTCATGGCCCTTTGCCAGGGTTCTGTATGATCTTTCACATTTTTCAACGTAATTCTAGTCTATTTTTTATGTGTAGTGCGTCGTATCGTTCCGGAGAACGGAATATTTTCTAGTAACCGGAGAACTTTATGAACAATAAAACAAAAGGTCGTTTAGTAACCTGAGAACTTTTTTCTATTAGACTTATTTTGTTAGCTATCTATAATAATGCTTTGATATGGTAATGTGTAAAAATATGTATCTCATTTGGTATTATGTTTTTGCCAAAGTTTTATGAAATAGTTTTTTTTATCATTCTGGAAAGAATAATAATGAGTTTGTTAGTTTCTTTTTCTTTTGAGCATCCTAATTTATGAAATGAATTTCTTCACTGCTCTTCTTCGATTTTTGCGCCTTTCGTGTGGAGTCACTTTTTAACTCATTAGTCCAAGTCTAACATTGCAAAGTACCTAGCTACTCCAGAACGAACTGAATAGAAGCAATGGGAAATAAATTACGGAACCCCAAAATAAAAGGTTTGTTTGTCCCTTCTAAAATATTCTTTGAAGACCTTTTACAGTATCTCCGAAACTGTTAGGAGAACACCACATCTTGCGGGACCGTTCTTGGAAGGACAAGTTTTAAGGTTTTTTCCACAAAAACAAAATGGGAGCAGATACAGGAAGATTTTCTTCGATAAACTTCTAGTGGGATATTGGGTTGTCGTAATAAGTACTCAGTGACTGTCAAGGTGATATTTAGGTTATTTTATTCTGAATGACGACAATTCTTTTGGAAACATTTAGACAGTTATTGCTTGTTCGATAAATTAAAAATTGTATTGAAACCTTCATTCATTCACGTAAATGGTCATCTTTAAAATAAGGGGATTATTCCCACCTATCGTGTGTTAAATAAATGAAACTAGTGTGTTAGATTAAGCTTATGTATCTATGTAGTATGTATGTCGTTTCCCGAACACTGAATGTAAATTAGTTGCATGCAGTGACGCAGTCACGCAGTTAGGGCGCTGTGCTAATAAACACATAGCCCAGTACGATATAGTAAAGCACTATTATTACCAATATAATAGAGAATTCTCTTGTTTACGGCTGGAAGACATTCTGACGTGACTATAACAATTATGGTCGATTCTTCCCAGGGGCGTTACGAAACTGTCTTCTTATTTACCAGGTATCATGGGTCCGGCACCGGGACATCCACCTGCTGACGGTGGGGCGCTACACGTACACGTCGGACCAGCGCTTCGAGGCGCAGCACAAGCCGCGCTCCGAGGAGTGGGCGCTGCGCATCCGCAGCCCGCAGCGGCGCGACTCCGGCCAGTACGAGTGCCAGATCTCCACCACGCCGCCCATCGGCCACGCCGTGTTCCTCAACATAGTAGGTACGGCACACACAGAGCGACTAGCGAGCGACACTCACTACACCTCAGCAGCGTCGCGACTCCGGCCAGTACGAGTGCCAGATCTCTATCTTACTAGATTAGGATATTACATAACAAAAAAGGCAATAAAAATCAGATCATTTTAGTTTTGGAATACAATTTTCTCTGATAAAATTCAGTGGCTTTTTTTTTCAGGAGAACAAAATAGGTATCTCAAATACATAGATCCAGTTGATTCTGTAATATTTCATTGATATCGTTTAATAAAGCTTGTGAAGCACTTTCAGGATCAGTAACTAGTTTTTTGATATCTTGTAAAGCTAAAAATAATTGAGTGAGATCACTTGTCCTCTCCACCCTGTATAACCTTTTAAAAGTAATTGATTAGCCCTCTGCTCCCAAACATACGGGCTAATCCCAGCCAAATTGCCTCTACATATTTAACTGCGTGAACAAACGACTGTCTAACAAAACAAATGACGTTATTTTTAGAACCAGAGACAACGATATCGAGTGGTCCAGAGCTATTCATTCAGGCGGGGTCCACTATCAATCTGACGTGCACAGTCCGCCACACACCCGAGCCGCCCTCATCAATAACCTGGACGCATGGTGAACAGGTAAATAATGGGATTATAGAAATAATGACGGAGAAATACACTGCCACTCTGAAAGACACTGGCAAGCAAGAAAAGATACACCACATTAACGAAAAAAAGTTGGTTTTCAAAATATGAATCTAATATTTTAAACACAACCATAAACAAACGACCTTTTATTAAGGCTTTTTGATTGAAGGGAGATACTTTGTTAGTTACTAAAATATTTCTAAAATAATAATTTATTTGAGAAAAAACACATGTGATAGATTTTTAAATATTGATTGTAACCTAGCTTTTGTGTGAAAGAAATTTCCGTAATGCTAGAAGAATCTGGATAGATATTATATCCTACCTCTATCCGCTTTTTTAATATTGTGATGCGTGAGATATACGATAATACGAGTAGAGCTTATATTTTATAACCAACCATTTTGTGTAGTACCCATTCGCATACTTATCCCAGTCGTGCTACTTTATCATAACATCTTATCTCTTTTACGGAGAAAATTATTTCAACGATATGAAAAACCCTTATCGACACGCTAAGAACAAGGAAAAGGTTCTTCTAAACATAAAATGTTAATAAGATTTTGAATTGTTCTTTTTGGATTTACATTTGCTTGATAATTAACCAGTTCCAAATTCTCTCAAGTCCGCTGCAAACTCTCCCAAACTTTAACTGCAATGCTAATTTTCAATTTCAAATTTAAATCCCCGAGGAATAAGAGTTTCATTAAATTTAACATTACAAGCGGAATCCCTAATCTAATTGAGCCTCCCAAATAAGTTGCGAACAAAAATACTTAATCTGCTTTCAAATGACAAATCTTGCCAACTCGAAATTTGCATTCGATCAATTAGCTGAATTTACCTAATCGCAAGAAACGAGAAGTCTGGCGAGTCGGATTATGGACATTAAATCCTGGAAGCCCTACCTTCCCGATTCAGTAATCGATTCGAGGTGTGAAGGACGGTAAATCGAGTTCCCATCCTGTTAATATTCAATCGATTGTCCGTTAAACCCGTCGTTGTTGCGGTCGCTTAGTTTCTCAGTTCTACTGGCGATTTGATTGCTTATTGGTTGGGGGCAGGTAAATTGGTAAGCTTCGTAGTAGTTAACTAATCATTAGGGTAATAACTCATTCTATTTGCCGTTCCTAGCACGCTGACCTAGGGTGTTCTAGGAATTGGAAAAGTTATATTGTACAGTACACTAAGCATGTAAACTTAATAATACAATTACTTATAGAGTAAATATTTTTTTTGTAATAACGCCCTACAGGTTTAATAAATAAACCCTTTTGAATTTGTCTGCGATTTTTTTAAACTTTTTTAACTGATAGGTATTTTGCTGTTTGCCTTTTATTACACACGCACACACAACCTTATTGGCCCTCTTCGATATTATTATTTTGAAATACTATTTTGTTAGTAATGATGTCTCTAATTCATTGACAATGAAACTACATTCTAGATTATTCTTCTCAAACCAGGTGATAAACTTCGACTCAGCTCGTGGTGGGATATCGCTGGTGACGGAGAAAGGCCTGAAGAGTACCAGCCGACTGCTGGTGCAGCGGGCCAGAGGTGCTGACGCGGGCTTGTACACATGTGGGCCTAACAACGCACCTCCTTCGTCCACTAGGGTGCATGTGCTATCAGGTGAGGACAAACTAAGAAGAAATATGAAAGTCATGGTAAATCAGGTGATAAACTTTGACTCAGCTCGTGGTGGGATATCGCTGACTGAGAAAGGCCTGAAGAGCACCAGCCGACTGCTGTGGGCCCAATAACGCTCCTCCTTCGTCCACTAGGGTGCATGTACTATCAGGTGAGGATAAACTAAGACGAAATATGGAAGTCATGATAAATCAGGTGATATACTTCGACTCAGCTCGTGGTGGGATATCGCTGACTGAGAAATGCCTGAAGAGCACCAGCCGACTGCTGTGGGCCTAATAACGCACCTCCTTCGTCCACCAGGGTGCATGTACTATCAGGTGAGGACAAACTAAGAAGAAATATGAAAGTCCTGGCGAACCAGGTGATGAACTTCGACTCAGCTCATGGTGGGATATCGCTGACTAAAAAAGGCCTGAAGAGCACCAGCCGACTGCTGTGGGCCCAATAACGCTCCTTCTTCGTCCACTAGGGTGCATGAAGATACTAAGAAGAAATATGGAAGTCATGGTAGTTAGTTTTGCAGGGCAGAATACCGCACTTAGCCTCATGATTGGGCCATTGTACGCGATTTGTTGTTTATCTTCCTACTCTAACCACCCCGGATCCCCCCAGAAAGCTAGCAGCCTATTTAGACCGCTATAGGCCTCCTGCAGAGACGCTGGTGATTGGTGGAAGTCATAGTAATAAAGGCTCTTAATTAAATGTTAAGGAGTACACTTTTTTGTACAAAATGGACATTATACCTGTATCAACTCTAGAAATGTGACAGAATCTTTGCATCCGCTAAAATAGAGTTTTAGCCTTATGAATCACTAGAAGCATTTTAGTATCCTTTTTTTGTTTTAAATCTTTTTTTTCACGTGATCAAAATGATAATTATACAGTTTTAAAAGTCACTACCTACTGCAAATGAAGCTTTAACCGTACGAACCGTAGTTTTTTAAAGGGTTGTTTGTATTAATTAATGATTGGAGATTATCATCAAAATACAAAATAAAACTAATATTATTATTTTGCAGGTGAGCACCCAGCTGCAATGCAGCAAGGCTGCGCAAAATCTTCCCTGGACAGAATAACATCGATATCATGTTGTTTACTAAGTGTATACCTATTGAGAAAACCATCATTCAGCAATTTGCATTTCGGTACCTGAATAACGATTGTACACAATGTGTACGAACAAGTTTTTTTACACAACTTTAAAAAATTATAAAAATAAGGTTTAGAATTGGATAGCGGAGTAAATTTTAATCATTAAAAGTCAAAGACTCTATAAAACTATTTCTAGATAAAGATAGAAATATTATATTCTCGCACTTAAAGAGGTTCAATTTACTTGGATATTCTCAAAAACCTATCTATGTTGTGAATAATAATTAATTTTCATAAAATGTCTTAATTATCACTCATTTTTATTTAATTATATATTTTTTAATTCTAAACAAACAGAAGTACAATATTATAAAATTTAGGGTAGAGTTACTCGTACTATTATTGTAAATAAAATATTAAAGTCTATGAAATGTTGTAAATATTAAGAATTTATGTAAATAAACCATAAAATTAAATAAAATATGGATATTATATCACAAATGAAGTTTAAAATCAGTTTAATATCCGTTAATGTTAATTATAACATTTGATATTTTTTTACGTATTGCTGTAAATAATTTACATTTAGTTGTCGTCGTCGTCGTCGTTTCAGCCGAAAGACGTCCACTGCTGGGCAAAGGCCTCCCCCAAGGATTTCCACAAAGACCGGTCCGGCGCCGCTTGCATCCAGGTACTTCCCGCGACCTTCAACATTTAGTTGTATTCCAGTAAAATATTTAGACACGAATATTATTGTTATTTTAAGCAATTTGATTCCAATAAAGTCACATTAAATGTAATTATTATATAAAATCCTGTGGTTAAGATATTTGTAATTAAAACGAAGTCAACGAATAAACTTTGTTTATACAACAGTGTGTTTTTATTTTTATAGCTACATCTAATACTTAAAAATCCAAGAACCGCTCCCATTCGATAACGAATGCAAAACCAACACAATGCAACTTAATGCAAGACTTTTGAATCATACTGAACATCTAAAAACAATAATAAAATTTTATTATTCATGTGAGAGAGAGAGAGAGAGAGAAATTTTAAGAAGATACTAAAAGATGGAGAAGAAAGAAAGCGGGAAAGAATGGTGGTTTTATTATTTGCTCTTTGTGTGGGTGTGTGTATGAGAGTGTAATAATATGTGCGCGAGAACGCGTAAATCTTAATTTAATTTTAAGTGGTTGTGCTCTCTTGGAGTTGGCACAGTAAAAGTGCGCATAGTAGGTAATAATTAGTGTGCAGCAATTGAAAACAAAGTAATAAAAAGTCAACTGGTCCTTATTTAATCACAATTTAGCTAAATACTAGAGAGAGAGAGAGAGAGAGAGAGAGAGAGAGAGAGAGAAAATGCAACACTGTTTCAATCCGATTGTTATTAAGTAAATAATTAGTTTTGGAAGGACCAAAAGTTTTTTGACGTTGTATTACTGTTACACTATTTTGTAACGCATCATTTAATTTTGCACATACAATATTTCTAAAAGCAAGAGCTGGTAGAACCAATGTTCAATTGGTTCTTGAACGGAGACTATTCGAAAGGCACACGCAGCTTGAAACACCTCATTATTGCGAGTTTTATTAAGGTTATTTTTAACTTTCATTATGATACTCGGAATCATTTGTCTGGAATAGACTTACCACATTAATTTATACTATGACACTAGGGCGTTGCTTCTTAAATTTTCAAATGCTATTAATTACGCACAGTTACGGCACAGAACGCCCGTTAATGAGGTCGTAGAATAATTTATTTTACAACGCAATTTGTGTGTATTGCTCGCCCTGTTCGGGATGCTGATGGCCATACTTTTGCATCTTTACAGCCTCGCAAAGATAAACGTCAGAACGTTGTTAATGGGTTGAACACTGGCACAATGGTTTTGAAACCCAAGATACAAGCTATACTGCTTAGTTTGGGTCTCACTGGCATATATTTAAATAGGTCAATAACTAGTGCATAGTTTAAGTACTTTGTTATTTTTGTCAAGAATATGTAGGTATATCTTTTTGGAAATAAAATATTATTTTTAAATATAAAACAGCGGCATCTAGCCCCAAAGTAAGCAATTAATATGCTTGTGTTATGGGTGCTAGCTTAACGGATATACTACTTATATACTTTTTTTTTTTAAATACATACATATTATACATAGTAACACCCAGACCCGTCACAGAAATTAAAATTCATCATTTCAATTTCTGCCCGGCCGGGAATCGAACCCGGGACCTCTCGGCATAGTAGTCCGTTCTGAACCACTACACCAAACGGCCGTCTTATTATTATTATATTATTATTATTACCTTGTCAAGTTTCTGAAAACCAATTTGGAATTTTAGAGCCTTTGTAAAGATATTAGGGGATATAAATTAGATATTAAATTGTCCATACATTTGTTCATTATGTGTCTGTGTGTACCTACTCGTTTCAAGTCAAGGAAAATCTTCCGTTCAGGGAATTTCAGGAATACTGTAGGAATATCTATAAAAATATCTAAGAAGCCCAAGACATTTAGTTATGAGTAATAAAAATAAGATAAAGTAAAAAGCTTATTAGTTCGATATTTATGACTTTCGTATTGGCCTTTCATACTTTTGTTAATCACAATAGTATCCACTGTTTACTTATTATTAGTTTTTTTTTATCCACAACGAGGAAGCTCTTGGCCTGTATCTCACCTGATGGTAAGTGAAGATCAGGCCGTAGGTGGAAGCGAGCTTCACCCGGAAGTTGTATTTATTGACTGTTATAACTCAATGAATATATGTATATCAAAATTGTGTACGAGTATTCCAAACAAATTATTCACAAATAAATTGATCGATTTCAATCTAACCCCGTACAGGAAACCGACTAAAGTTAAATGGATTTATAAAGATATCCTCTTACCAGATTCCAATATAAATATTGGAGTAATGGCTTCCAAATCCGGATGATCTTAATTAAAACAGATCAGGGGTACCCAAATAAATCGGACGAAACAAACGTAATGAAAAGTAACGGCATTGCCGATGGGCAATTCATTGAGACCAGCAAACCCTTTTGGGCTATCCAGCCACACATTAATTGTGCTAAGAGCTTGATGAAATTAATACGACCACAGTTGGGGCAAAACAGCTACATCTGTACTTTGTTTGGGAATTCATCGCTAGCACAGACATTATTTTATTCAACCACCCACAAGGTGGACACTGGACAGTCGTCCTCATAGAGGTAGCAGGAAGGCGCTGGATGCAGGCCGCTACCAACCGGTCAATATGGAAATGATTGGGGAAGGCCTAGTTATGTTCAGCAGTGGACGTCCTATGGCTGAGATGATGATGATGATAACATTTTATCAATCAGCTGGAATCAAACAATGACGGTTATATTATTCTATTGATGAGGTTAGATTTACGCCTGTATTCACAAACGATGCTTGCATAAGTGAAGCATAGGGGATGTCCTATGGCTGATGATGATGTAGAGTTTACTCATTGACAATTAAGGGAGGTCTATAGCATAAATAGCATGCTTAGTTTTCGAAGATAACACGGATGATTTGAAATGTACTAAAAAGCGTAAATAACGCACTCGAAAAAACGTAGGTATCTTTATGCATGACTTTGATCTACGATGAATTTGAATGTGTAATTTTATCTTATTGCTTATTCATAAAAAATAAGAAGTAATTTTCACAGAACAGTACCCAAATGGATCACATTTTTGCAGCGTCTTTTCACAGATATCACAAATGTAAACTTATCTATTATTGCTTCACTCGTCATACTTATATTCGTACTTTAGTAATGTAATCTTTGTGCAGATTAAAGAGTCTGATCTTGTCGATCTGTGCAACTTATCGGAGTGCAGTGAATCGTCTAGAAACGTTCTCAATTTAATTATGGCGAATATTTGAGTTGGCCAACTTCATGTCGATCCTATGGTAATCACCGAGCAGTATTATAGATCTTACTAATTGGTCAGCTCCAATTGAATCCGATTTGATTTTAGGGTCGGAACCTCACTTAACGTCAATGCTGAAGGCCGATACGAAGAATGTGAAAATTAAAAATGCCCATAATTCTGGCCTGATCTCTCTCAGCGATATTTCGACTGGAGTAATTAATTCGGCTTTTTAATTAAAGATTCCTGACGATTTGCATGATTTATTTGGCTTATTAGAATATACATGAAGAATCGCTTCATCAATTCAAATTAAGTCGTTGAGTTTATTTACATAAGGTAACGAGTGAATTATCTGACGATGTCGTATTATCATGAGTTATTTTTTTAAAGAGCAACTGTTTTACCTTACGATTAATAGGTCAAAATGGCACATAATATTACATGTTAGCTTGATGTGCTATCGACGATCGTTGTTGTATGATTTATTACGAACAAAGGAAACAAGAAACGATCAACATGAGCGAGTGCTTGTCGCTCTCCTGAAAAAAACCAGTCTGTGCGCAACAGAATCGCTGCATCTAAATCTGCCGCCAATATAAATCGGAAGCCGTTTCGAAACTATGACAAAGCGGACGGTGTAAATCGCCCTTGCACGTTTCCAGCCAGTAGGCCAGAAATGGTCGGCCGTTTGGTGTAGTGGTTCAGAACGGACTACTATGCCGAGAGGTCCCGGGTTCGATTCCCGGCTGGGCAGAAATTGAAATAATGAATTTTAATTTCTGTGACGGGTCTGGGTGTGACTATGTATAATATTTATGTATTTAAAAAAAAAGTATATAAGTAATATATCCGTTAAGCTAGCACCCATAACACAAGCATTAAGTTGCTTACTTTGGGGCTAGCTGGCGCTGTGTGAAATTGTCCAAAGATTTTAAAGAAAGATTTAAATAGACGATTAACACGTTGGACGCCACGCTCACCGTTGAGCTTCGAAAAATATTTTGTTATGCATAACTTGGCATTTAATTTTGCCCGCTATCGTACCTAGTCTTAAGTGAGATGCAGTCTAGGATGGTACATATCTGCCCTGTAAATGCCTATTCACTCCTTCGTCTCAGCAGTCAACGACTTAATAAATGTAGCCGCACACCGTGCCACAATTTATTGTGGTTTATGTAACCAAATGGTCATAAAAACCACCACAAAAAAGAATCGTGGCTTAGTGTGCGGTGCCTCTTAAGGGGTTATACAAATGAGAAAGCTAATTAATTTAACACAGGTGTGGGAAAAAGACAAATAGTGTCACTAACCTCTACCCTTGTCGCGAGGAAGGGTTACAATTAATGCTGTGTTAGTTTACTTGTAGTATTCAGATCGTTCATGAATTTCATTCATTGTTTTACACGAACCATCCGAATAGAATACGTAGAGTGAGAAGGAA